ACTGGGAAATTCCAGCTTAATGGAAAATTCTGGTATTATGATTATTCTGAATCAGAACAAACTATTTCAAAATTTGCCACAAAACAGAAATTAAAAAACTCTAAAAAAATACACTTTCAAGAATGTTGAAACATTTTCTGTTTGGGATTTTCTGTTTTATTTTTTCTTATTTTTTCATATTTTTTATTTTTGTTTTGTCCATCATAATTAGACACTACCTCATGCGTGCTCTTAATAAATTCCATATTGTATCATACCTTATTTTTTATTTTAACTATAGAAACAACATATCCAATTGTCCATATCTTTTATGGGGACAAGAGAATAAATCATTATTTTCCTTTCCACTATTTTAAGCAGCAGTTGTTTTAAAATCCTAGGAAAATAAATGCTGCTGTTGCAAGTATATTGAAAACAGTAGTTACTTTAACTTATATCATAAAATAATTTTTTCCAGTCAAATATTTAATTTTAATCTTCTCAATATTCTAACCACACACTTTCTCTGTATCCTAGTTGCCAGCAATAGAGCAATTCTTTGTCTTCTATTATTCTCACTTCACAGAACAGGAATACTACTCTCACTACTACCAGCTCACAAGTATATGGATTAATTCTGACCTGTTCTTAACATCTGTTGTTTTTACCACTCTTCCCATAAACAGAGAATGTGGATTAAGTTTCTCACAGATCTATTCTTCTTTTGAAACAACCAGATTTTTTTGATCATTGAATATGAGAGACTTCAATTTATTTGACCATCATTTAATCATGAAACTTGAATTTTGCCTGTTTTGACCTATAGAAAAACTACTCCTCTTTTCAGCCTCCTTTCAATTCTACTAGTGCAATGATCATCCAACTCATACGGTCTCACCCTTACAGTTAAATTTGGTTTTAGTTTTTCATGGAGTAATGATGCTAATTACATCACCATGAATAAAAGTATCTCGGATTTTCTTTTTTACACAGTTCATTAGCTCAAATGAAAGAATCATTTCATTCTCTAATCTGTCTTCATTCTCTAATTTCTTTTAACTTGATAAAGGAAATTTTCCACTATATACCTGACCTTTCATGAACTTCAACACAACATTCCATGTTCATAAAATATAATTCCTTTTCACCCCTTTCTCCAAAGTTTTTCCTAGGAGAGAAAGCTAAGCTTCTCCAATAGTGAACATAAAATATTTTGCAAATAATTCACTAGAGACTATATGAGCTAAACAATCATTTTGTGCTTCATAAAATAATAATAACATTGTAAATAACATTTTATCTTATCTAGAAGTAAGCAAAATGATTTATGAAGCAAATAAAAAGAGATAACTCCAATCCCAAACAGCTTAACTTGGAGCTAAGAAAAGAAGACTAAAGAAAATACGCACTCAGATCACACTGAAACTCCATGCAAATGTGGTGTCTCCCAGTTTAAAACCTCTGTTTTTGGGATGAATGTGTCACAAAAATAGCTAGTAACAGAAGAAATAGTATCTCCTTTTACAAAGAAGACAAAGGTAATACTTAGGCCCAAGATTGCATTTGGGTCTGCATCAAAACAGACCATAAATGCCATAAGGTCTTATGGCAGAGTTCAGTTACTTAAACTGGTGCTGAATGGTGCTGAAGGTCATTTAAGATACCATAAAGAATGCAAGAAATCCATATGATGTCAGCAGATATGACACAAGAATTACAGGAAATAGGTCTCTTTCTGGAATGGAAGGTGAAGGTCATGCAGGACATTCCATAGCACTAAGACACTAAGTGCCTAGGTTTAGCCAAATGAACACTCACTTTAATGTCTAATTTCATGAGTGAGATGTCAAAAAAAGAAAAAAAAAAAAAGACACAAAAAGTACAATTCCAATAGGCCCTGTCCACTGAATTCAGTCACCAGTCAGTAAACTAAAGGGTGACTGATAAGGTGTTGTTCCTATGGAAGGATCTTCCACCTTTTCTGGGGGAAGTGCTACTGGCAGTGGCAGCAGGTGTGGAAGAGGACGGGGAACATTACTAAAGATACTTAAGATATTTCAATCATCTTTTCATTCAGTCCATGAATGCCTCTGCTTCTGTGCATGTTCTGTGCAGGGTGCATTTATTTAAAACAACATAACAAAAGTCTCCTTTTCTGGAATGTTCATATAATGAACAGCTCTTTACCAGTCACTGTGCTTATGTCTTCATTCATCCTGTCTTCTACCATGTTCTCAGCCCTAAAAAGGTGGTGTCTGTTATAGTGGTTCTATCCCATTATAAGAAAAATTAGTTAGAGATAATAAATAGTGAGGTATAGGTATCTGTGATTCAATAGACAGCGCACTGGTTCCTTCTTACAGCTCAGATTTTTCAGGCATTATGGTAAGTTTGCTACCTTTTTAGGAAGAATTTAAAGGATTTCATCAATAAATGTTTAGGTAAGAGTTCCTCTTTCATAAAATGGAATTCTCATTGAAAAGAAACTGACAAATGAGCATAACAGTGTATCAGTGTTATAACATGTCAAGGATACTCACACCATCATCTTGCAAATTAGAACAAATATGCACACTCTAGTTAAATAAGTACTTCTGACCTGGACATTTTTTATGGATATTTTTATGGCTTTCAGAAACTCTGTAGTTTACAAGTGCATTTATTCAATGGGGCAGAGGTAACAATGCTTTATTCTACATAGGTTGAAAAGTGTCATTATCAAAGAACACAGTTAGCAACAAAGGCATAATTAGTGAGGAAGAAATGGACACATGTCCACTAGCTAGGAGAGTGCTGTACTGCTCTGACCATCAAAGAAGGAAAAGAGCAATTCCCAGATAAATATATCCTGAGGAATACTTATTTTTCTAGGAAAAAAAAAGACGAATTTGACAGTGAGGAAAGGCACTACAGTGTTTAAGTTCAAACAGGTAACTATCAAAAAAAAAAAAAAAAAAAACCTCTGGAGTCTATCCCACCTTACTGCCTTTTCACAATACCACTTTAAACCAAGAACTTATGGAAAGAAGTGAAGTGCATAGGAAATTTAGCCTTGATGTGTGGAATAAGTATACAGAGTTCAAAATGGCTCATGATTCTTTTGTGACCATGGATGCCTTTGTGACCATGTGATGCCATGGATGATCTTTATGCTACTCTTACTGCTTTTGCTGCTCTTGCTAGGTCTTATAAAACCTAGGAGAAAGCAAGCAGTGAGGAAGTAAAAATGGTTTGAATCTGAGCTCAGGGAAGAGAGTAATCAATGAATTAATTCTGTGAGAAAAAGAGGAAATGCACATATCATCTGTAGTCCTGTAAGAATCAGAAATACAGGCAATCAGAGCTTTGATCGTTTCTCTTCCATAATTCATCCAGCAGGCTGGTCAAATAAGTGATAAATACACTATGCATTATAGCAAGATAGGTCAAGTTATGAGCAGAATCATGTCACCATTCAGATCTCTGAAACCGAAAGGGAAGAACAAAATATACCAAGATACTAAAATACCCTTTCTGCAATATAAATGATTAGAATACACTTTAAATATAAGTAATACTTGAACTAAACAACCTTACCTCAACTCCCCCCTGCAGTGTTTTTGCCATCGTACTACATTAGGAGAAAGAAATCCTTTCCAAAGAGTAATCAGCTTAGCTAACCATACACCATTTAAGACTACACAGAACAGAGTATTAGCCATTCAAATTAAATGCGTCCTTTCTGCCTGGCAAGTACCATACAGTTCAAGGTGGACTTGAAAACTGAGAATGGATCTGGGTCAATGTGATCTCAACTGTCACTTTTGATAACCAAAGTACAGCTAGCACCTCCACATGTAACTATCATGGAAAGGGACAGGGACAAAATGCAATGTTCTGAAACAGTTTTTATAGAAATTATGCACTGTTTCTGACATGTATTTGGTATCTGGAATTGTAGTCTGGTTTAATCATCTACTTCGCCACCTTTCAAAATGAAAGGGTAACAAGTACAAATTGTATCTATAAAATGGCATCACAACTTTATTCTCAATGGCTAAGTATTGAAATGCAAGCATACATTATAAATAGAAAAACAGCTGGCTTGGAGCGCATTGCAAGCCACTAACACAGTTGAGGGATTTGAATGACATCATAACCCGTGAGAGCATGTTGCTGGCCAGCTGGTGTTATTTATAATATGCTCATAATTGAGGAAAAATAAAAAGGCAAAACTTAGGTATTACAGAACAAGCAAAGTTGAATTCTCTTTCTCCCAGTGTCATTTAAATTATCAAGAATAATTAGGAAGATTGCTGATAAAAAAAGTGAAAATCACTTTATAATTATAACGGAACATTTAAGTTTAAAGTCATGGAACAGTCCCCCAAACTAGGCTACTTGTATTACTATATTCATAGCACTGTAGATTCTGAGAAATGATATTTCTCCAGTGTGGTTGCTAAAGGATCATGAAGCTATTTTGTCCTATTTACAAGTAATGTTCAACAACCCTTTTATTTTTTAGCAAATTAAAAAGTGCCATTTCAGGGTTAATAGCACAGAAGGATGGAGCTTTTAATTGTTACTCAGCATATAGGTGTGCCAAGTTCAATAATGTAAACATGCATAAGAAAATGGGAAGCTGCGTGTCTCTCTGTATTACATAAATAAAATGCCTGTGTCTCTATGCATAAATAAAATATGTGTACATGAATATGCAGGTACACATATATACTAACAATACCTTATATGCATATATTTGCATGTATTTTAAATACACACACAGAGACATGCAGATATACACAGTCATCTGAAAGTTAACTAGAATACATTTTCTTATTTTTCATGGCAGCATAAGCTTTTTTGTCTGCTAACCCCTCAGTCACTAATGCACATTCTTTTAAAGGGAAAAAAATATGCTTCTGTGCTCTAGTTTTAAAATGCAAAGGTATGATGTTATTTGTCACCATGCCCAAAAAAGTCCTTACTCGGTAACTTTGCCAGAAGAGGGAGAGAGAGAGAAGGCAAATGCTCCCCCAGCTGTTTCCTGTCTACAGTGTCTGTGTAATGTAGATAAATGTGAGGATTTTCTCTAAATCCCTCTTCTGTTTGCTAAATCTCACTGTCACTGCTAAAATCAGAGCAGATAGAGCCTGCGCAATGGAATAAAGTCCTCAATATTGAAATGTGACATTGCTCTCAACATCTCACATCTCTCTGGATTTCTTTTTTCTCATCATTACTGCTAACAAATTCATTTCCAGACTTTGCACTTTTAAGAAGCAATGGAAAAAATCAACAGTCTTTCAACACAATTAGTTAAGTGCTGCTTTTGTGATTTCTTGAAGGTAAATCTTTATTACTATTTCAAATCATTTTTGAGTTTTATTTTACTGTGTATTGTCTGCTTCTGGTTTGGAGAGTATTGTGCACTTTTCAATAACATTATTTTAGAACTGAGAATTATTTATAAATTGCTGAACATGCAATTTTATGTGATCTGGAAAATGGCTGTATGTAATAGTTGCAATTACCTAGATAACTGTAAGGGTAAACTATTGCAGATACATGTCTTAAATTTCACTTCTATTCAGGGAACTTTACGTATTTCAGTTATGTCATTACTAAAGGGTCCAATTACATCATTGTCTATATTGTTAATTAATGCTTCTGAAAACAAGAACTTTTAGATCTTTTCTGCAGGTGCAGGTTTTTATAGGAATGTGGGCTTTATACACATGTTAAGTTTCTGTAGTTTTAAATGCACAGTTACAGATAAAATGTTCATACTTTCACATTGAAACTTTTAAGGCATGTTGTCATTGCAGCAATTTTCTGGCAGCATTGTTGCATTTACTTATTTTTTTTACTTTCATGTATTAAAAGTAAATGTGAAGTTCAGTTTGTTTTCTACATTAGAACACAGCTGCAACTCTTGCTGACCTTGCATATTTGTATGGCTTAAGCAATTGTACATTAAGAAAATGGAATTTATCCTATATTTTTTTCTCCAAGTTTTCCCCTTGCAAGGAGGGCTGTTTCAGGAAAGTTTTCGTGTTAAGTTTCATGCTGTGATACTAAAATTTCTACTTACTAATAGAAATTCTCTTCAGATAAATTTGGCTTCAGTAGGTGCATTGACCTCTCTTTCTGTCAATTGGCCCTAGGTCAAGTTTCCACTATCAGCAAAACTATATCCTTCAAGAACTCTTTTTTTTTCTTTCTTTCTCTCTTTGTAGTGATTGCAAGCACACTGCTTTGCAGCTGACAATTCTCCAGGTCTAATTGCCTAAGGCCTAATGAATTTTTGTTTATACTGTCTGACACTTAAGCACATGCATCCCATTCTTTAATGTGATCCAAAAAAACATGCTTGCAATTGCAATGGATGAAACTATACTCTTAATGTGCAAATGGGCATCTCTTGCAATATTCTTGAATGGTGAAGATACCTTTGTTTTTAAAGTGTTGAGCAAGGCATTAAGTGACATTAAAATTAGTATGATAATTCCTCAGCTGGTGCAGAATGCCCAGATTCCTTAAAATCAAATGGAACATATTGATCTACATAAGGCTAGGATAAATGCCAGATTCTTTAATCAAAATCAACAGTATGTAAAGTTTGATCCATTCCAAAGTATGTATGCTTTATTTACATAATAATAACCAGAGAATACTTTTATTGCATAGTAATTACATACTTCTAACTCTACTATGGCTTGGTAATTTGATCCAACAGCTATATTTTAAAATGTAATTTTAAACAAGCTCTTTTCTATAGCATGTATTTTCCATGAAAACACTGTTCAAGATATTTATAATTACTGTAAATGCTATTAAACAGTGACCAAGCATGTGAAGAATTCTTATGTACAACTTGTGCCAACTCAAGAGTTTGTTAGAATAAGGGTACTTACAAAGAAAACTTAAGACGTAAAAGAAATATCGAGTGTTCATATGTGACATTCTTTTGTGGTGCCACTCTTCTGTACTATTAAAAGAGGAATGCAGCAAAAGCTGGTTATTTTACTAAAAAAAAGAGGAAATTCCAGCTGTGAAAATATGGTCAGTCATTCTATGCAACTAAAAGAAGTGCTTAACCAGGCTCATCCTGAACCTGTATTCAATTTCCAAATGTAATTAGATGCTTCAGTAAACCCCACCCACATGCCAATGCATTTTTTTTTTCAAATTCTCAACTTTCTAGGCAAAGTGGGGACACTATAAGCACCTTATCTGTTTGTAAAGTACCTGAGGCCATATTGGGTTACATCTTTGTATTTTCTTAAGAATATTCCCCTCAGACTTGAATGGGAACTTTGATTTTATCACTAAGATATTGAATTAGCTAGTGTTACATTTAATTAAAATGATGAAGTAAAGCTAAAGTCTTAATTCATGTTTTGGCATTAGCTTTGATGAAACAGCACTTATTTTAAAAATATGTATATAATTAATTGGACCCTAGAAACATATGAGTCTCTTCTCCCCAAAGTTTTTACTCGTTTGCAAGTTCTTAACTGTTTTTAAATTTGGGGATAAAGTGTAGAAATTCTCTGTGGTTTATACTGTGCAGTTTTTTTGGCTTCCACTAAAGGAAAAACAGTGGAGAATCTGTCTTGTCCTAGTTCAGTGCTGATATTTATCTTAAAATGTAACCCAGCTGAAAAGTCTAAAAAAAATACAAAATTGTTAAATGTCTAAGATTTATGTTTATTTCTGGCTCAAATGTTATACAAGAACAAACTGTTAAATACATAATGTTCTTACATTTATAATGTTTTTCTAGCCTCCTGAGGCTGTGTGTCAAACAGCTTTCTGCTTTACCTCTTCAGAGCTAGGAACCAGCAACCATCTTAAACTGCAGGTGCATCACATTCATCTTAGAAAATCAAAAATATGGCAAGGGAAAAAAGAAAGTGATGTTGTTAAAATATGGAAATATTACAGGAAATAATGCCTTATGTTATCATCATTCATTTATAATCTGATCTTCCTCCATGTGCCACTGAAGTCATGTCCATGCATTAATGCTTGTTGGCTTTTCCATTGTAAAGTTGGCTAAAGACTCCTGTGAATGGGAAAATGATTATTCTATCTCTTTATGATATATCATGGGATTCAGATTTGCTCATTATTTCACAGTAGAAGTATGATCAGAAAAAAAGAAATAAAAAGGTGGGGGAGGCAATATATTCTTACTTATTTACTGATTTTTCTCCTATTCAGCTCTGATTCAAGTTGAAGTGGGGGACTTATCCACAAGGTGCTAAGGTCCCTTGGCAAGAAAAAAAAGGCATTCTTAAAAATTATTGACTTAAACTAGAAAAGGCTCAGTATCACAGTGGCTCAGATCCAGTATGAGTAGATAACAAAAAATTTCATCATTTTCAAAAGTTCAATGAAAAATATGATGGAATGGCCCCTGAAACCTTGAGAGAAACATGAGGGAAGACTTTTACTCTGATTTTTACTCACTTTACTCTGATTACTTGTACTTGTCTACTAATAAAAAACCAGCTTTAAGCCAAGGCTAATTGTACATGTAAGAAGGATTTGTAACATCTCACCTGGCAGGAGTACTAGCCTTTTCCTTGAAACGGAATCAAATTGTATGTAGATTTCTATCCTTTGAAACTAACATTTTTGTTAAGTGGTCTACTAAATAGGTCAAAATATTCATTCGGCCCCTGCCTCACTGCTCTACTATGCAACATAGATGTTTTCCTACTACCTTAATAACAGTATTCAACAAAAATGCTGTCTTCTTTGACATATTGGTCATAATGTCAATTGATATAAATAGACAAAAAAAAAAGGAAACAGACAAGCAGAACAGTTCAGATTTATACCCCTAGAACTGGTCCTCCTTTAATCGTATGTCCGAGAAAAAAATAGTTTGTATACCAAATGTAAGAAAGAAAACAAACATTATCTGAACTAAATGAATGTAACAGAGATCAGTGAGTCATACTTTCACTAAACACAAATGCAAATCATTACCACTCTTACTAGACATCCTTTTAATTTCTTGAATTCTTCCAATTGTTGTCTCCCTAGGAACAGAAGGCTAGAAGGAAATTCCTGAATCAATGAATTTGGTCCCCTACTTTGGAAGGTGCCACATCAACTGCACCATAACTTTATCAAGCTCTACTTTAAAGCTTTTTTGGTTTTGTCCATCTGTTTCCAAGTGTTTTGGGTTTAAACAGCTCTTCTCTGTCATATGTAACCTCTAATTTTCTCAGTGCATTAGCAGACAGTAGTCATGCTGCTAAGTCCCTCTTAGCCTGCCTGTTCTCAGACAAAACAATTCAAGGTTGTCTAGTGTTCCTAACCCTAACCATGCTGGCCTTTCCAAGCAAGAATTATAAATCATGATCCGCTTCTAGGAGGTTCCTTAACTACATGTGAACGAGAATATTCACTAGAGGAGTCGTCAGTTTACAAAATGTATGGAATATGTAGAGTTGCAATATTACTGTGAGACCTTTCCTGATGTTGTGGTTATTCTCGTTTAACAAATTACACTATGCACGCATTCTCAGCTCACAAGGGTGCAGTATCTCATTTTATTTAGGACTCTGCTGGGAAACTCTGACACAGTACTCTTGCTTCTTTGGCAGGTGAAGATGCACACTGTGTCCTACATTCATTTCTTCTACCTTGGCCTGTGTTTGCTTACCTTAACCAGTTCTGCTGCTGCTGGCCCAGAGACGCTTTGTGGTGCTGAGCTGGTTGATGCTCTTCAGTTCGTATGTGGAGACAGAGGCTTTTACTTCAGTAAGTCAACTCTTTCTTTCATATAACTGCTAAACTTCTCCTTGTAGACTTGGGCTTTGCAACTGCTCTAAGCAAGTGCAAAAAATAATTAAACTAGGCTTCAAAGCATTACTACTATTGTTTCTCTAAGACGTCCATATTTTCAGTGAAAAGGAAGTCCTAGCAAATCAGAGAGTTGTGCCTGTGTTCAGCCTCTCCAAAGTTTTAATGAATTTTCCTTTTCCAATATGGCATTATTTTTAACTATTTCCCACTATTCCACCTGCTCTACTACAACTTTCTCCTGGCCCAACACTAAAATTAAGGGAATGACTGGACATGCTTAGACCCAAGATATTCATGTGGCAGTACTGTATGTACCTATTATGTCAGACTACTTGTAAACAGCTTAAGTACACATTGTATCATATTAAAAACACAATAAGATTCAACATCTGTTTTGAAAAAAGAAAATCTGGAAGACAGCAAGTAGAATGTTACAGCATCCAAGTGTCCACATACTACATCAGTTAAGCACAGGTGAAGGAAGATTCATTCATGGTGAGATAATAAGGAATAATCCCAGAGCAGAAAATAGACAAAATTAAGTCTGTAACCGCACGAATATATTAGTATTTGAACAACATTTTAGAGCAAGACCTGCACTCTGGGTGTGAACATAACAATGTTTTTCCTTTGCTGTGTTTTAAATTGTGCAAAGTTGGAGCAATTAGATGAATTAACTCTTTTATCTTAGTACGTTCTTACAAGCGGTGTCAAGATCAAGAAGTACAGAACATGTAAATAATAGAACTCTATTTCTAATTTTCAACTATTTGCTACTCAAATACCATAAAGTTAATGAAGCTTTTAGGTGGGAATATATTCATTCTTTAAGACGCTTTAAAACATGCAAGAACTTGTGTGATGAGAGCCTCTGAAGCTAGTGTTTACCCTGTATAATAATGTGTCCCAGGTTGTTTGAAGTTACCTTTCTTTTATGCCCTCAGTTGTCTTTCTAAAAAGGAATGTAACTAAGAAAAGATCAGGCTAGTGAGGCTATAAAGACAAATATTTATCTAAAGGTTCTTTTCTATTTATTTCTGTGTTTTAAGGGTTTCCTTTCTGTAATGTCTAATATTTTAAAAACATTTGTAATGCTCTTTTAATCTCAATAATTCTTGCCTTCTAAGATATCATTTTTGTTTTTCTGATTGGGTTCTCCTCCTGCTATCCCTTTTCATTTTTATTCATGGAGAAGGATTTTTTCCTTGCTTGCTATAAAACAGAATCACAGAAATCCACACTTTTGCATCTTTATTTTGATGAAACCTAGATTTTGATGGCTAGATTTCCTCTACATGCAAGTTGCTGTCCTTTTCACTGTCTTTTTGGCACTTTCCATTCAACTTCATTCTTCTGAAACTCAGAGACTTAGTTTCATATATGCTCAGTAGTTCATTAGAGAACCCTTAATTCTGTATTTAATAGTTCACCTATCGCTAATCCAATCTAGAGCATTGTTTAACTTAGCATGCTGGTGCTTAATAATACTAAAATATTGGGATCTCTCTTCAGGAACTTCGTATGTTTCCAACGATTATCTGATGTTCATTTGAACACTAAAATCTGTTATATTCAGCAGCAGCTGAGTTACACTTAAGGGGTTATTTCAGTGCCATGCAAATACTTTCTTTTATATGGCTGGCATGGATGAAAAGATAGTCAGTCATCTCCCTTTCTTGTTCCGTGTTCCTACACCAGAAAAAAATGAGACAATAAGCTATATCCTTAGCACAGTGTAGCAACCTTTTTTTTTTTTTTTGACTGTGCTACTGTTTTTGCTAATCTTAAACATATTTTCTGTTATTTCTCTTTGGTACAATGTTTGCTACTTGTGCGTGGAATTATCACAATTGCTTACCAAATGACATTGGCTGGAACTCTAAATCATACCTGGAGTTACATGTCTTCTTTGTTTTCCTCAAGGTACAAAAAACTGTATAACTTGCTAGCCACCAGCAATAAATGAGCTTGATTTCAAAACCTAAGTTATTTTCAAGTTAAACAGTCTGTTCCAAATTTCTACATTCCCTAAACTAGAATAGCCTTATTTAAAAATAAAAACATGGATTCTGGAAGTTTTAAATGAGCTCATCACCTCTGTAGTCTTGACTTGTGTCTGCCATCAGTATAGACTCCTTGTCTGTTTTTCTTTGTCGTTTGCTTACATTTTCAGTTTGTACCTAAAATTAATTTAACTGTTGACCCCACTGTATGAAAACTAACCGTAAGTAAGAACTCATAAATTGTCCCAAGTTCATTCAGCATCCTAGGAATCCTCTGTCTGATCACAGTTGTTTCTGTTTTGTAGTCTCATCAAGGGTTTATTAATCAACGATCACCTGATTTCAGAAAGGCTTGAACTGTTGTAATTGCAGTCAGCAAACTGCAGTTTAAACATTCACTGGAATTTTATGCAGTTAATGCATGGACCTTGGGTGCTAAGTAATGTGCATTCCATATGTGACTCAACTTGTGATTCATGAGCAATTTAATCTGTCTTAGTCTACTGTTATTTGTTGGCATTTAATGTAAAATATAAAACCATAGGAAAAAGTAAGTCCAGTAACACTTTTAAAATATCCTGAGATCTTGAACCTCATATCAAATATTATATTGCAACATGTTATTGTTTAAAATGCTATTCCATTTCACCGTACTTTTAAAGAAGGCCATATCATTTACAGAGGTAAAAATCCAGTGAACTATTTTTCTTTTACTGTGAAACGATTGTCAGTTTCAATTGTATTGTAAGCCTCCTATTCTCACATTCTGGTTCCTTTATAAAAAGTATAATCTGGGGTTATGTTTGCCTTTAATTTGCTCAGGAAATAATTGTGAGGGAAGTTTTATTCTTCCATCACGCTGTATTTCACTAGAGACTTCAAATATAAAGAATATCTTTTGACTGAGGTGGAACTCCTGGTTCAGATTCAAGGTCAAAACTTCTAAATATTCCTTGGGAGTTGTGGGTGGAAATGAAGATAGAAGAATTGTGTTACTTTCTGCTGAAACTCTGCATTCTACAACCACAAGGCTAGCTACAGCTAGAAATGGGAAAAAAATCCTTTATCTAGCTTATGCTGCTTGCAAAAACTGACTTCCTAGTTATAAAAGGAAATTCTTCACAGCTTTTGAAAGGACACACCAACTACTTACCACACACAGAGAAAAATATTGACCTCAAGAGAAAGTCAGAAGCATTTTCTAAAACTTTCTTTCTTTGAGGTAGACTGGCAAAGAGCTTTTTTTTTTTTTTTTTTTTTTTTTTTTTTTTTTTTTTTTTTTTTTTTAGGGGGTGATGCCACAAGAACCCCAGTACCTGTGCATCTGCTTTTTCCCCCGGTTACATATAATCCCAGCCAGCACTGGCTACTCCTTGGACAGCTTTTAGTCTCCCATGATTCACCAGTGCAGATAAAGTTGTGGCCACCTTGTCACCTTGTATTTAGCAACTTATGTTTTTCTTCAGCATAATTTCTGCTACTGAAGTACCTGCTGTGCTATGTTAGGAGAAGCCAACAAAGCAGGAATCTGGCCAGTTTTCTATGCCTTAAAAATGAACCTCTGGAAGAAAACAAGCTCTAGTTTGATGCAACTATCTTCAGTCAATCCTTCTCCAGTTTCAAAAAATCTAGGTTTAACAGTCTTGAAGCCTGCCATGTTCAACTGACTGTTAATGTCTAGAAATGTCTATCATGCCACTACAAAACAATGCTGGGGGCAGAAACTGTAGGTAAGACTAAAAGGGCAAGTTACGAGACACTTACAGAAGTATTAGCCTGGAAGGGGGAAATTTTTGCTTGAAATGCTCTAGCCCTATCAGAAGATTTACTTTGTAGATTACTCAGAAAGGGAGACTGTTTCATTTTCTTCATACCAGCTGAGTTGGATGGACTATTTTAGCTCATGCTATGTCTTGAGGACTCAGGAACACGAATAAGGAGAGCAATTGCAAATTTGCTCTATAGAAAAAATGCTATCTTCTTTTTGATCCAGCTGCCTTCCTTTTCCAATAAACAGACACTAATTCAGTTAACAAAACAAGTGAGTGCCAATAGAAAAATAGCCTTATTATAGGTGTCCATACACTGTTTGGCTCATTCCAGTTTCTAAAGCATAAATTAGATGGCAATCAGTATCTGAGATCACGGTACAGGGTATCAATTTCATTAATTTATAAAACCTTTTTTCAGTTAAAAAAAAAAAGAGCTGTCAATCTTAAATGAATCTTCTGAAGCATCACTTGCACAGAACACAAGGAGTCAAATTTAGAGACCTGACACAGTGACTGATACTCTTCAAGGCACAGAGAATGACCTAGTATATGCTTCCTCATACCCAAGAATGAATCCTACAACAGAAAAAGGCTTAACTAGTATACAGCCCTAACGATCCATGTGTCAAATACTTTGTGGAGAATCATTACAAATTTTTACAGCTTATTTTTGCCACTAAGACTATCAGAACCATCCTTAGCAATATCCTCAACTCTGAGCAGCATAAGAATATTGGGTTATAATCACCAAAAAATGAGGAAGAGACAAATTTTGGGTAATATCAGATCTGTCATCATATCTCATTGCTTTGTAGATCCAAAGTATAAATGGAGGAATTGCTGCCTTATAGAGGAGGAAATTAAGAGCTTAGCAGCATGCAATTGTGTTTTGCTTCTTCCGTTCCCTTTTAGTTTAACAGCTTCTCGTTTACATCAGGAAGTCTGCTTTTAAGATGTTTTTAAGGTTTCCAGGCCTGTCAAATCTATCAACATAATTACAATAGAAGGAATTGCATTCAGTTCTTTAACTACTTCATACCTGTAGGGACTATGAGTCATCAGCTCCTCTGTGTGTCCCTGACTGAAAGCAATGTTATATTATAAGCCCAGGAAAGGAATGCTGAGAAGCTGAGGTGGCCTATGATGTTAGTGCAAAACTTTGAGAGGAAATTCTGGTCAA